TTAACTGTTACTCGTATATCCTGTATGATTTTTAATACAGTTTACTTAAGACAAATCTTCTTTTATCATCTGAAAATTACCAACAAATTTCACTAGAGACCATAAAAAAAAAGCGATATAATATAAAAAGAGAAAAAAAACGTGAAAAACCACAATGTAATTTTGTTGTTGTTTCTTTTTTCTTTATGAAAGAAAATTCTTTCTTTCTTTTTTTATAAAAATAAAAACCTTAGTTCAAACGAATTTTATATTGGAATGGCGAACAAATGACTCTACAAATTGCTTTCTTGGTCATAAGAATTATTTAGGTCTCAATATTTTTGCTTTGTTTTTTTTTTGCATTATTACTTTTTATTTTATTGTTTTTGTTGCTGCTCTCTCTCTCACTCTCTTAGGCATTATTAAATTTTTGTTTCGCTGCTACAATGCTACACGCTGCTCTATTTTTACACTCTTGTCTTGTTATATTGGTGTTCTTTTTTTATTCCTCATAATCTTATTTATTCCTAATTTATGATTATGATTTTATTATTTTAATATTTTCATTTTCTTTCTCTCATTTTTGCTTCTCTTTAAAGAATTTAAATAAATTTGTTGGATAAATTTTTATTTTATTTCTCTTGTTTTTTTTGTGTTTTGTATGTAATTCGCCTTTTTTTCTTTAAAGAATATTAGGATAATGGGAGTTATTTGTAGTTGTTATGTTATAGACTTTAAAAGTAATAGAAAATGATTATTATTAATATAAAGTAAGCTCAAGCGATTATTATTAAACATTAGAGCAAAAATAAATGTCAGATTTAAAAAAAAAAATTTTTATTTATAAAGATTTTAGTAATTTTGTTTTGCGCATTTTTTTTTCTGAGTGTATTTAACTATATTTTGTAATATAAGATAGCTTTAAAAAATATTATAAAAAATTTAAGATTATAAAAATTATGATTGCGATTAAAATTGTGAGATTTTGAAGAATAATTCGGATTACCGTCATTTAATTTTCGGAAATATAATTGAATTTTGAAGGTTTTCCAAAATATTTGAAAAAGAACGATTGAATTAGCTGTAGAAACACATGCTACGCGTAAGCAGCTAAAAATTATTGTTTTGAGAGAATTTAATAGCATTTTGATTTACCGTGAAACGTTAAATTTGCTCTTTATTAAAAACATTTTTAAAAAATCGGATTTTTAAAAATTTTAAAGACTTGCATTCCATAAAGCAATCTAATATAGCAATAAAAATTAAACTCATTCAACTGTATATGCAAAATACAATTTCAACTGTTAATAACACTGAATGAAAAATGACAAAACGAAAAAATATTACGCTAGCAACAGCACAAGAAGAAAAGAAGAGCAAAGAGAAAAATAATACAAAAGGGGCAATTAAAAAATTGAAAGCTCCGAAGAAATAATTCTCAATATTCTCAAACACATTGACAATGACCAGTATATTGTTACCGAATAGTTTAAAAATATTCTTTAATATTGTCCTGCAACTTTATCATTTCATTTATGTGATGCTACTCAATAATTAAAGTATAAAGCAACTTATAAAACTTTTCATAATAAAATAAGAATGAAAAATAGGAAAAACTTAATTTCTTTAAAACACTTGAGATTTATTATCAATTAAAATTAAATATTTTTTTTTTCTCCCCACTTGATTTCTACTTTAATAAAAGAAAAAAACTTTGTTTTTTCTTCCTAATACACAGTAATTTATTTGTTATAAAATTTAATTTATTTTTCTTATACTTAATTCGAGAAATTATTAAATGGGAATTTGTTACCAGTTCTTACATAATATAAACGATCATAGTAATTATTAAAGTTATTTACTACTATAAAATTTAATATGAGTCAGTCAATGAAAAAAAAAATCTAATAAGCATGGCTGATATAAAGCCAAAAGAATAGTGTAGTGTAATAGAAATAAATTAGCATATTATCCACAGTTACTCCGAAAATAGGATGCAAATGACTGTCATGCCATACAGAGTCTCATGTCACAATTTTTATACCAACATAAAACTGACATAAAATACTTGGAAATTTTAACGCTAAGAGACAAAACAAGAAAATTTTGATGAAATTCTGAATGACTCCGAATGACTCCGAATTAATATTAAAAACATAAAGGCATATAATAATAAATGAAAATTTCAAAAATTCTAATTAATTTTCACAAAATACAATTAAATTTTATCTTATTATAATTAATTCGATAAGAGAATTTCCTATACTTATAAAACGAAGTATTGCAAATAATTTTGTTCCAAACCAGACGCGCTCATTCAAGCGACCACAATTTTAAGTATCGTATTGTAAATGATTTTTTTTTCTAAACCGTTAGTATTTTATTCTCATAAACACCACACTACTTGTTAAGAAAATATTTCCAAGTAGTTCCCTTATTCACTCACATTGAATAAAAAGAGCAAGAAAATAATCAAGATTATGTACATAAATATAGGCGTATATTAAAACAACCTACAACAAAACTAATAAACAAAAACACAAACACAGAAGAAAATCCTTCAAAACAAGATTGTTGTAAGGGATAAGAAAGATTTTTATATTTTGATAAAAATAAAATTTTCAAAAGTAAAATAAAAACGAGAAAAAAAATAGAGTTGACCTTGTCAACTCTGTGATATCCGTACGAATTTGTTATCCTTTGTGTGAATAAAGATGCCATAACTGACTATGGGGCAGACTATGACTTTAAGTTGCCGTATTACCATATTAATTTATGCAAAATTTCAGTACTATGTGTTTTTCAAAATACTGGTTGTGCCAAACTACTATTGAAGTTGTATGGCAGCTACCAGAAAGAGCCAAGAAATTTTAGCGAATTTTATCAAGCACATCGGCCCTACTAATATATTCGTTTGTGTGAAATTTCAATACCATAGCTTTAATAGTTTCTGAGCTATAGTCAAATAACTTTTGAAGTTGTATGGCAGGTACCAGAAGGAGCCAAGTAATTTCAACGAGTTTTATGAGACACATTGGCCCTACTAATATATTCGTTTGTGTGAAATTTCAATACCACAGCTTTTATAGTTTCTGAGATATGGCCAAATAAATTTTGAAGTTGTATGGCAGCTACCCGAACCGGTACCCCGATCATGTCCAATTTAAATAGGGTTCTGGCACTTACTACAATAAATCATTTGTGAAAATTTGGTGAACTTAGCTCAATTATTTTTTGAGTTATCGTTCGGACGGACGGACGGACGGACGGACGGACGGACGGACGGACAGACAAAGCTAAATCAACTCAGAATTTGACGCTGATCAAAAACATACACTTGAGTCTATATCTAACACCGTTATTTCTTAGCGTTACAAACGGTAAGACAAATTTAGTATACCCTTCGAACATACGTTCGTACGGGTATAAAAAGAAGAAAGTTTACGAAACCAAATGTATAAGGAAAGGGAAATGAAAAGGAAAATTACATTGAAAGCTAATAACAATTCATTTGGGAAATGAATTTTTCTTACCCACACAAATCTCAAGGTACATTGGTTTGGTTAAGTTCATATAACTATATTATTATTGCATTTAGAAGGTGTATAACGTACAAAGGATATTAAAACTATTACTTTAGTTTAAAAATTATTTTTTGTATAACAGCAATTGTGTGTAGGTATATGGAAAAGTAAGGGAGTAGAATTTGTAATAGGGAACTTATAAGTTTTAAATGAAAACGTAAAAACAAACTTTAAGGTCTTTTTTATCATATTTAACAATCTATACCGTTATAACTAGCTTTCAATTGAAAAACTGATCCTTTGGAATGAAAATTTCCTTTTTTATTTTTGTACTATATAGTGTTTTGTATTTTGATAAATTGATTGATTATCAGTATTAGGAATGTTAGACCTCTATTTGTTTAATTTTAACCTTTAAGGGTTTTATTCGAACAATTACTTTTGAATTTAAAGTATATAAAGTGAAAAAATTAAAAGAACAATATCACCGCATTTTACGATTTAAATTTTCAATATATTTTTAAGTACAGGTTGGATTACAGGTTTTAAAGTGAATTTTGAAGCGGTATCATAATTATTCGAAAACACATTATTGAATTTTCATTGAATGTACATTCTAATCTATGTTGGCTATCCGGACATTTTATTCTTCTAAGTTTTACTATATGCATAAGCACAAAATGTACGAGATTTAGTAATTCTAAATGATGTTCCAAAATCAAGTGATTGTATTCGCCACACACAGTATGACAATACATACAATAAATGATATTGTCTGTACACGGTATCCGTAACTCTGCGGTACTCCCGAAATAGGGTGAGTGGAATCCCGACACAGGATGCCTTTCTAATTTTTAAAATAGTTTTCCTTTAATCTTCATTTACAGCTCATAATTGCACCTATGAACCTATCGATTTTTTCATGAGTGGTCCATTTTAATCTGACCGCATATTATGCAATAATTCAAAAATATTTTATTTATAAAAATACATGTCGAAACTGTCTCTACTTTCCTATATTAAAAAATTTATAATTACTTCGAATTTTTAGCAGAGCCTTTTTACCTAATCATATTTAAGTGAGTTCTATTGAAATAATTGATTTTCATCGATGAGGTGCTAAAAATAGAAAAGTGGAAAATTTAAGAAACTCTTTTGAACAGAGTATTTCGTGATTGTATTCTTAATTATATTAAAATTTATCTGTAAAATATTCTTGACACAATAGACCATTCCTTCTTAATTAAAAGTATTGTTTTAATTAAAATTCAAGCCAACTAGAAAAAATGTACAAATATAAAATTATTGTATTCATTAAAGTCAATGACAACATGTTGAAAATTTACTTTCACCCCTACATTCATTACCACAAAAAAAACCCTGAATATTTTTTTATACAAAAAAAAAATTTAGGGAAAAAATTTGTAACACTAACATAATTTATTTTTGCAAAATAAAATAAAATTTACTTAACGTAGAAAACTGTTATACACTTACCTTTGATCATGATGATGATGTTTATTTGCTGCTGAATATGTATCAAAAATATAATTTAACATTGGTGCATCTGTTTTTTGTGGTTTTGGTAATGTTAATTTACTACTTATAGCTTCACTAAAACTGCTAACAACACCACTATGACCATTATGACTGTTACTATGACTAGAACCATTACTAATACCACGATTATTATTATTATTATTACTGTTACTGTTACTAGTTGTACTACTATTTATATTTCTACTACCATTACTGTTACCACTGTTACTGCTGCCAATATTTTTATTATTTGACATAATAATATTATCATCATCATCATCATTATTATTATTATCATTATCATCATCAAAATTATTACTTAATTTTTTATTATCATTATTAACTGATGTTAAAGATGATGATAATAATCTATTTCCATTTGATGTTGTTGTTGTTGTTGTAATATTATTTTGCATCCCTAAATATGTTTTTACTGTTGTTGATTTTATTTTTGTTCCTGTTTTTATTATTGTTGTATCATTAGTTGTTCCAATTCTTCCATTAGTGGCAGTAGCATTTAAGGCAATTAAGTTATCTTGAATTGGTATATTTTGTTGTTGTTGTAGTTGTTTTTGTATGGCAGGTACATAACTATTTTTTTGTAGTAACAATAAATTTGTTGATGACAATGATGAATCTGATTGTGATGATGGCGATAATAAAAACGATGATGAAGAGGATGATAATAACGGTGGTGATGATGATGACGATGATGATGATGGTGATAACAACGATGTTGATGATGAAGAAGAAGATTTTAAATTATCGTCATCTGTAGATATCGATACAATTGATGATAACGATAAAGATGTTGATGATGACGATAATGTTGAATTTATTTTTGTTGAATTAAATCTATCTAATATTAAAGAAGGTCCTTTTAATATCCCTGTATTATCTATGGTAGCTCTATTATTTGGTAGTTTTGTTAATGTTGATGATGTTTTACTTAAAATTATGCTACTGTTATTACTATTATTATTATTACTATTCATATTTATTCTATCATTTGATAATTTTGATGATATTGAAACATTTTCGGTACCTACAATATAGAAATTGTAAAATTAAGATATGAATTTATTTAGTTATTTAATATCAAATCTTAAATTTTACCAGTTTTAAATTCAGCAGATGTTATTCTTGTAGATATATCAATATCTTTAACATTAACAATTTGTGAATCGTCTATTCTAGTATTTTCTGTTTTAAAAATAATATTTTGCTCTGAAAAGAGAAGAGAAAAAGTTGGATGTTAGTACAAAAATTGATTTGATTTTAAAGAGCATGAAGGAAGGCCAGGCTAAGCCTAATGTAATATATACAAAATGGCATTATAATTTGATGGAATTTCCAAGTTAATCAGTCAGTAAGTAGATATGGTATAAAAGAAAAAAACTTTACTAACAAAGAGTGTAAAACTTTTCATTCTGTTACGATTTTTCTGGTAATGTAAGATTCTTCTATTGGCACTAAAAGTTATAGACATTAGTAAACTCGAGGCATTTCAAATGTGGGCCTATAGAAATTTCATGGACCGAGCACATTACAAACGAAAAAGTTCTTAGGAGAATTTACACAAACTGAGAACTATTTGAAAGAATAAAATGTCAAAAAAATATCATATTTGGGTCACGTCATGCGTAGAAGCAGGGTAAAATTAAAGGCGAAATAGGAAGAAGACGTAAACAGTTGTCGCGATTAAGAAATATAAGGCAGGCATTACAAATATGGGAGAACCAATGCACACAACAGCTGATACAAGTGTGTATCAAGATGTAGTCGCCAGGATCATATATGAACGCTAACATCTACAAATTGGATAGGCAACAGAAGAAGACGAGTAAGCTTTTTTTTAGTTGGCACAACATATGATATTTAATTAAAATTATTTAAATGTAAGCCATAATTGATAAGCCGACATTCTTCATATTTAAGCTTATAGAATTCCTATTTCATAGCCAATTCCTAAAATTACTATATTCGTTCTGAAATTAATGGATAGCGGGCCTCACTCTTACAATCATTTGTTTTTCAATCAATATTAATTTTCAATATAAACTTTGTATATTCAAACAAATCCATTATCAATATGAATCCTGTTCCCTCTATAAACTTTTTATATAAACCAATTATATTAAGATTAAATAAAGATTCCAAATTTTTTTCTGTTAAAAATAAATTTTATTTCTCTCAAATTTCCTTTAGAAATCATTAAAAAATTAAAAATTTTATTTATTTCTTTTTTATTCAAATTCTCAAAATTCAAAATTTATTTTATACAACTTGAAAATATTGAATTCTCACTAGACAAAAAATCACACAAATATGCCCTCGTACATAAGAAAAGGAACCGCCACCAATATAAAGTAGTAAAAAAAAAAATGAAATAAAATCCTTATAACAAAAGTGCGAAATAAAACCGAAATTTGTTACAAAATTAAAAGATTTTTCAAAAGTTAATTTTTAATGACTTTATCTACTGCTGTCGTGCTGGGTCTTCATAGCATATTTTCTTCATGGAAGATTTTCTTCATTTATACACTCTCAATATAAATAAATAAAATATATCAAAGATAATATAGAAATACAGAGGAGGACACCATAATATTTTACATTAAAAACCCATAAAGGAAAACACATTTTTTCGAAGGACACTTCAAAAATGTTGAATAATTTCAAAATAATTATCGAAAAATTCAAAAAAAAAACAAAAAAATATAAAATTTGTTTTTTTTTTTTCCTTTTTCGTGTTGTCAGCCTCATGAATTCAACTTCAGTTTAAATTTTTTCTCTTTTTGGTTTTGTTGCTTTATATTCTCTGCAAAAATCAACAAGGATATTTGTTTTTTTTTTTGCCCAGATAAAATGAAGGCTGTGTTCTTCTTTATATTTACAAAATAACACTCACTCTTTTTAGATCATAAATTATGATATCCTACCATAATTGTATATATACATAATATATATTTGAATAAGTATATATATACAGAAAATGTTTACAGGGTAATTCTCTTATGATTATACTTGATTATCCCTAAGGATATTTTCAAAATGAATTTATTTTTCGAATACTATTTTAGAGGAATACAAACTTAAAAAAAAAAAAAGCGATTTTATATCATATCATATAACCTTATAGATTGTTCAAAGAAATTATACGAGATTTAATATAAAAAAGAGAAAAAAAGAGAAAAAAGTAAATAAAATATAAGAGTATAGAATAAAATATGTGAAAAAATTAACACGAAACAGTAGGACATCAATTAAATAAACACGTCTTTGTAAATAATATTTAGTCACTGTCACTGCTAAAATTTAAAAATTTGGGAAGAAGCAAGATAGTATGTGTGTAGGAAGAAAAATAATTTATTTATGCTTCTCTACTATTGAGAATTGCGTTTGCACCGGAAACTCAATATGCAAAATTTGTTGACCTCATCTACCCTTCCTTATTGTATGCAATACGGTCGGTTGATATATCCATTGTATTGAAATTATTATGAATTCTATAACAACACTCGAACTGAGAAGATCAGACATAGGAGTAAATTCAGTTCTAGATATTGAACTTTCAATGCTGTAGTGCACTGTTGCTGTTCAAAAATTACGCCCGAATATGAACCACTCTAAAATCGGAATATGAAATCAGAATTATAATACTTCCCGCATATGATTTGAATTATTTAAAGTCAAATAGTAAACTTACAATGACCAAGCATGATAAGTCAGTTTTAAGTGGCAACACTGGTACTATAATTATCATGTCATTGGAAATTTTCGGAAAATTTTGACGGTACTTTCAACAAACAGCTGCCGTCAGGATTCTGTTTGTAAATAAATAATTTTGTTAATCTTAAACATTGTACGATATTGACCATGTACCATGAACATATGGTCTTTTGTAAAAGACCATGTACAATATTTGTGTATTTGTAATAATAAAAAAATATCGGTAAAAATATGTTTCGATAGACTTTGAAAAGAAAAAGAGAAACAATAATATTTTTTATTCATGAAAATTACACTTAGGAAATCCGAAATTAAAATGAACGAAAAAATGATAAAGGAGTTGTTGGCCCTATCAAAAAATTTATAAGAACCTAGACAAAATTTTATTAAATTTTAAGGAGTTTTTCCTGTTATTGTTATTTCTGATTTTTGTTTTCTTAATTTTTTATAACTTTTCTTTATTAGAAAATAACATGAGCTGTTTTTTTTTTTATTCATTTTTTTTTTGGTAAAGCTTTAAACAAACACCATCTTCAAGTGATGAGAGCCGTTTGTTGTATTGAACAAATATGAGGGTGTGAGAGAGAGAGAGAAGTGAAAAATAAATGAATGATTTTATGAGTTTGGTTTCGTTTAAATTTTTTCTTGTGCTTCGTTTCTTTTTCTTCATAACTACACTGAATATTTTTATATACATATAATATATATAATATATATATATATGTATAAGAATTGAAAATATAATAATTTGCTATAAGGAAAAAAGTAATTTTACACTTTAATAAACAAATAAAGGATCTGGAAAAATAAATTGTCAGGATATACGTATTTACATTAATAAGTATGTCAAAATCAAAGTCAGAAAACAAGAGAAATACAAAAAAAAAAAAAAACTCAAGTGAGAATTGAGAATATATGAAGTGTTATATTACTCTATAAAAATTGTAATACACTATTACGATTGTGTGAATATTTACTAGAATATTGCGTAAATCCAATAACAGGGTATATTTTCAGGAGATTTAAATTGAGTGGGAGAAATTCATAATCACCTATATAGTAAATTAAAGGAACGTGACATAATAATATGAATGTCTACATGGCTTTTAGCAATTTATGTGTAAATTCGCTGTGCTTGGATTACATGAATTTTAGAGTAAAATGCTTTTTAATAAGTAATTAAAGTCTTTCGCTCATACATACTGAAGAGAATAGGAAATACTGTGAAATGTTCGAATACCTTTGAAAATATTATGTTATATTAAATTTTTGATATTTTATAATCAAACTAGGAGAGCACAAAATGTGTATTAATTCTATTATTTGAAATTCTCTAGCTGAAACAAGCTGGATTTTCGATATCTAGTTGACAATTAACAAAAGGAATAGCTACACTACACTACAATGTGAATATGACGAATCTGAACGAATATATTCTGAATTTTTTCTTCCTAAAATCCATTTCACAAAATTGAATATTATACTTTATAACAAAATATAAATTAACTTTTTAATATTAAGGATATAGATTACATTTTATTAAACTTATTCATACTAACTATAGATTTACATTTAAATTATATTTTTTTTTAGTATAGCTACTATAAATTTTCTTTAACAACTTGCTTTATATTTAAGGGCATAAAACTCATTTCCAAGTCAAATTTTTAATATTTTAAATTCATATTTTCTATAATAATAATAAAACAATTTTATATACATATAATATTTACCAATTTTTTTTAAATTATATTAAATTTTAGACTTTATTTTAAAAAAATAGAGAAAATTATTATAAACAAAGTCGAATTAAACTGATGGTTTGCAAAGCAGCACGTTTTCCTTAAATAATGGTTCAAAAAGTATCTGTCAGTTTTTCCTTCAACAGGTAAATATACCAGTTTTAGCAACTATTAATTTAAAGAAATTTTATTCATATACCAAAATATTTCAAAAATTGCATATATTTAGGATGAGCAATGAAAACAAAAAAAATATTTTAAAGAGACGTTAACATGATGCTGGAATTCAAGGGGTTAATTGCGTTAGTTATGAAAAATAATCATATGTTTTGTTGGCATAGCCGTTCCCATTAGCTTTCTGTTTTTATACAAATTTGGAAAATCATGCCGTTTCGGAAATATAAGGCAACGAAAATGAAGTTAGTTTCCAAAAACTGCTCCAATTTCAGAATTCTGCATCAAAAAGTTCAGCTTTCTGTCTTAAATTTAAATAGGAGTTTTATAGACAGCCAGACGGACACACGCGCATAGTAAAGGTAATAAATATTCACTAAGAATAAAATAAAAAAAAAATCAGTAAAAATTTTTGTTATAAAATTTCCTATAATAAAATTTAAAAGCAATCTTTTATATGTATATGTTTGCATTCTACTGAGATTCAGCTCATTTTCTATGTTCTATAATAGCAATATGATGATTCTGTTCAAAAAACAAAAAAAAAAAAAATTTTGATATACTGAAACTAGAGAAGCT